AAAAAAAAAAAAAAAAACCTCTAATCTTTTTGAGGCTATTCAACAAATTGTGCCTGAAGTCAGCAAACTCTGAGCGAAATCAAACTATAGCCGCAGAAGTACTGTTTAGAATTTACAGCCAGAAGAAAAAATCTTTTTTGCATTCCATTCTTCACCAAAAGTACAGGAATCCAATATGTATTTCATGCAGTAAAAAATCGCCAACACTAAGCAATCTCGGCAATTAAGTCTCCAGCGGCTTTCTCTTTAGAGAGTTGCTTAAAGGTAATCTGATACGGAATTTTGACTTGCTGACGTGTATCAAGATTTAAGTACCACTGCGCGATGTTAGCAAGATATCAAAAAAACCTTTAATGCAAAAAAAAGATTTTTCGGAGTAAAAAATCAATGTCCGCGCAGACTATTTATTCGAAAATTATCAGAAAACAGATTGAATGAGTCATCGTTGAGCTGGAACGATCAGCAATCCACCTAAATTTTAGTAGTTTCCCGAAAATTGAGCGGTACCGAAAAAGGAAAATTTCCAAAAAGGTTAGGATTGATGTTGCAAAAAGGACAGTGTCCTAAATTTTGTTTCTGTGTCGAGAAGATTTACAGTTTTCCAAAGATGGTACCGATCAAAGATGCCACTGATAGTGATGATGAAGATGATGACGATGATGATGATGATGGTGATAACAATGATGATGATGAGATTTACAATCATAATATCACCAACTACATTGATGCTAATGGTACTGGTGCTGATAACATTAATAGTGGCTATGTTAATACAATTATAATGGATTACAATAACAGGATAGCAATAAGTGGAGCTAATGGAGTGGACTGCTGCGCAATGTTTGTATTCAAAGATAGCATTTTATCAAATTTTGCTTCCTGGAATAGAAACTAGGCTATTCATTTTCAAATCCTCATCATGCAGTCCAAACCAAAGCGATTTAATGGCACTTAGGAAATTTCAGTCCCGAAGAATGGCGATGACAACAACAATGATGATGACACTAAATAATTTTGATAACTAGAGATAAGAACAGCATTACACTAATGAAAGTCGAGCAACATTAAAAATGACAATGCTTGTGATGGTAATGACAATAATAGTTGTAATCATAACAGTAGAATAACACCAATGATAGTGATAATGATAATAAATGCAGTGATGATAATTATTACAATAATGATGAACAATCCTAATAAATTAAAATGACCTCACAGACGGGACACAATACCTCATTTAAAATTATTTGACTTTGTTTTATGCTAAAGCCTAGCCGCAGAAGTTCTTAATCCAGACCCAAATGACGGGCATCGCTCACTGGTAAGTAACGTCACACTTTTGCCAAATGATCAAGGATCCACTTTTGCTAGTGAAACAACAAATCTCTGTGAGATTTCCTAATTTACATTGTATCTGGTGCCGATGCATTAAAACCATCATTGCTTGCTTGCAATTACCACAGGAAAAAGAAGCTACCGAAAACCACGGCATTGTATGGTTGCTATTGGCACGTGTTACCGTTGAGTGGTTACATTCGAGTGCATTTGCCCCTCATAAGAAGACAAATAGGGAAGAAGTTTTGACTTTTTGGGCCTACGTTATTGAGTCTGGTCGACTGGGCTCCAGAATTTCAATTCGTTAAATGTTGTTAGCTGCGTAATAAGCTTTGTTTCAAAAATGAATGAAAACAGTTATTGCAGTGATAATGAGATATGCAGCTCTGGGTTGTTGGGTCCAGCTTAGTTTTTCTCGGTACGTGGGAGCATCCCATTGGCATCGCTAACACCGGAGTCCCACACTGGTAGTCCTGAGCTGTCTTCGTATTTTTGTTAACGAGTAAAAACGCTACAATTATAGAAGAATCATGGTTAGATCGATTTTTGCGTATCTGATTCTCTTCCTTAGAGGTGCTTTTTTTTAAACCAAGGAGACTTGTCTGCGTGTTTTTTGCTTAGGCTTGAAGTGTATTGCAAAAAAAAATCATATCTTAAAATTTCCGTTGACAACAAAGAAAGCAGTGCTTCTCCCGCAAACTTTTATGCTAGGTTCCAAGTGCAGGGGGTTACTCAACACTGCAGTCCGGGCTAAAAATAGAGATATTATGAAACAAATAAAATCATATTCAAAATTTGGATGAACAGAAATGTTTGGGCCTATAAAATGGCAGACGTCCTTGTTCAGCACTACAACTGGGTGTTTTTAGTAGGACATTGTGATAGTGATAAAATCAATACATGAAATAAATTTGTGTAGGAGATTAGGTTATAATTCTGGAAAGCAGAAAATGTTTCCCTTTTAATAAACAATTCGACTTTTTCTTCATAGCTCTTGCTGCCCTCTAACGTTCATTCCTTCGTCCACTTTGTTCGTTTGCTAATTATTCATCAAGTATCATTTTAGTATCCCTCGTAAGGCTAAGTTATTTAATATTCTAGGTAAATTCAAAGCTCTTTTTCCTTCAAATTTTTGTGTATTTTTGACATTACTCTCTATTTCCTTTCCTTGCTAAAAAACCAACGGGCTTTTCGAGACTAAAAGTGCTTTTTTCGCAATTTGCCAGAGCCAGTTGAGTCTGGGATTTTAAAAAGTACAGTAATTAACGAGATTACAGGTGAGACTTTTGGATGTTGAGAATCACTCGGTCATCTTATTCGGTTAGCTGACGAGTTATTTTAGAAATCGCTGCGGAGCCTGCTTCATCCATTCTTTTCTCTGACCATCCGGTGACGCCAGGAACCGTTGTCCGTAGCCTGCGGCTATGCTGATGAACAGGGTTTCAGAACCTGTTGCCCAATAACGACCGGTCATTTGTTATTCCATTGTTATGTAATGAAGCGCAAAAGCACTCCAACTCCGCCATCCTTCTGCTTCTCGGCTCCCATGTCCTCCTGGTTCATCCGTTGTTACGTTCAACAGAATTCAACAAGCTCCCTGCTGCAACTTACAACTACCGCTACCATCAGGAGTTCTAAAAACTGACCATTAATAATTTTTCCGTTCACTAGAACATTCTCATACAGCCACACACTTTTCCAGCATTTCATTGTACTAGATGGAAAAAATTCTTGCTTTGAGACAGCCAGTCCGTCTACATTTAGCAGCACTATCAGTGCTCCAGTAAATACTGTGGTCTAAGAGGATTTAATAGGGGCAATAAAGGGAGAAAGCTAGGAAAAGGGGAAATAGCCAGTAGGTAGGGAAACATGCGTAATATATCCTGCGATGATGAATTAATAAATTAATTATCCTTGAGCCTCCCGGCTCTCCATTCCTCTCCTTCAAACAGGCTCTTGCGTAACAAAGAACAATAAATATCCTATGCAGCAGTGATAAAGGAACAGTAGACCGCCAATAATTTTACGGTCAAAATTTCTAGAGACACACCGAAATAGTCGAACAATGTTCGAATCAAAACTCTCCTTAAATTTTTAACTCATTCTGAGAGGTTAGTGGTACCCGAAAGTAAAACGGTGAGTGATGATAAACTGACTGCGTTTCGCAAGCTTCTGTCAACCACAAATTTAAATCAAGCAAAATTTTTTCTTTGTATATACGAGTGATAATAACTCATGAACACCATAACCTAGGGTGTGCCAAACTTTGAAAAATGGCTCCAGAGGCTTAAATTTAAAAATGCATTTAAAATTGCTTTATCATGATTTTTACCGCACTTCGATCTTTGACCGAGATACTAAACCCTGTTAATTTTGTGTCCCGAAAGTGAAAAGATAATTACTTCTTAAAATCCAGTTCGCAAAATATTTGATCACAAATTCAGCTTGCGAACGCAGTTGTAGCTTAACAGATGAAGCCACACTCATCGTTGCCACTGTAGCATTCAGTTTCCGAACACAGTTGTGCTTGGCCGTTACTCAAGAACTAAATAATTCATGACTAATTCAAGTCTCAATGAATGACCACCAGATGGACGAACTGTCCACTGCGTTATACAGCGGCTTTATGTAAGAACTGGTGCACCGTTCTATTAAGCGAGTCTGCTAGCAGCAGTTTGCAAGAACGCGTGACATCTCAGCATTTTGGCTCATGCAAACATTTATAATTCCTAAGATATAATGCATAATACTGATAATGGTGTTAATGATATTGGTAAGGATAACACTGGTGGTAGTGTTTACTGCTCACTGGCAATAACGATTCCGAAGCTGCTGATGGCACCTCCGGTGATTGTAATGACAGATGGCTCGAAAGCTTAATTTATTCCGGTTCGAAGCTCATTTGACCGATGGTTCCCATGGTTCTGGTGCAAGTTTCGGTACCAGAACACACAATAGCACATATGTAAACACCTTTTATGCTCCCTCTTGTTGATCATGGTTAACTGCTTCGGTGGTTCCAGTTTAGCGATGCCCGTTGAGTGGTTCTGCGAATTTTGAACACACCGGCTTTTTGCAGTGATGCACCCGACTGTCTGCAATGAAATCTCATCTCCAGACAACAATAAGCAACAATTTAGGCTAACAGACTTATTGCAGTGCTCATGTTGCACACAAATCATTACAGTCATACACGTGAACGAGTTGGGCCACCTATTTTAATAACTGTTCTGAACACTGATGATGGCAAAAAATAATGAAAATAATGTTGATAACAAATATAATAATTGGCCAACGCACGGGCTCCCCGCAAGAAGATGCGTTTTTCGCGTAGTTCCCCGCAGATTTTTGTTGCTAACGGCACTGGTTTTTTTTTGGCAGATGCTTCTAGCTAAAAAAATTTCAGACTGGCCACCAGGACTGTCAGGAAACATCCCTTCAAAATTCCACCCTTCCAGCTTTTCACGCTCCCAACTTAGCAACTTACCCGGAAGAAACTTTCACGGGCCCGTACGTAGGTCCCACGCTTATCCGCCGGCAGGGCTTGAACTCATTAACACCCATTTGGATGAGGACCATCCTCCTAAGATTTCATCATTCTAGCTTCTCAGATCCCCAAGTTATGAACTTACCCGAAAAAAATTTTGGGGGGCCCGTACACGGGTACCACGCTTACCCGAAGGATGGTTTTGAGGCCATTAATTCATAATTGGACGGGGAACATCTCCTTAAAATTTCAGCCCCCAAGCACCTCTGGTTCTCGAGTTAGGAGCTTACCCGTAAAAAATTTTGGCGGGCTCTTACTTGGGTACCACGTGGATAATGGCGCCCATTTTGGGAATTGGGGTCGTACTTGCATGTAGATTAAGTTCCCAAAGTTTCAGTCCTGTAGCTTTTGTAGGTCTTGAAATGAAAAAGTGTGACAGACGCACACACAGGCACACACACACACACAGACAACACCCCCTCAATATGTGTTTTCTACATTGCATAGCTACAAAAAACGCATAATAATGGTGGCCACAACGGCGATGATAATGGAAACGACGGTGATAATAACGGTTTGTGATAATAACGGAGTGGGAAAGAGGACTGTAGAGACAAAAATTGATGAAACGAATTTCATGCGTTTTCAAGCATTTCTGCATGTATGCAGATGCAATAAATGGCCAGCGCACCGACTGCCGGTGCGAAGATGCTTTTCTTGCATAGTTCCCACGAACTTTTGCTGCTAACGACATTGGTTTTTCTGGCAGATGCTTCTAGCTAAAAGAATCGAGACTGGCCGGCAAGACTGTCAAAAAACATTCCTTTAAAATTTCAGCTTTCTAGATTTCCTAATTTTCGAGTTAGCAACTTACCCGCAAAAAATTTACGAGACAGCACATAGGAATCATGCATACCCGGAGGCTGTATTTAAACTCTTTAAGACCTATGAGGGCGGGAAACATCCCCTTAAAACTTCAGACTTCCAGCTTCTCTGGTTTCCGAATTAGCAACTTGCCCGTACGCGGGTACCGCGCGGGTAAGAACACGCACTTTGGGGATGTGGGCCAGTAA